ACGGCACCAGAATCCAAGGCAGCAAGGGCTTTTCGAAACACCTGTCAAAGCTGTACTTATGTCCCGAAAGCTATGGAATGGTCCTTAATGCCTGGGACATCTCCCGGCAGTTCTCTGCACTGCATTGGGCGACCAGGAGTGGCAATTGCATGTGACTGGTCGGTTTGATTCTTTTGTCCTTACGAAATTTGCGACAAAGAACCCGCAAGAACTTTGGCACCTTTTCCTCGCTTTGCACTTTGCTGACTCTGCTCTCTACTTCAGAGGTGGCTCAGCCAGTGACAGAAAGCCTCTTTTGTCACTTGTGGGTTTTGCGCTTCTGGTGCTGCAGCAGCAAGGACTTGCCACATTCCAGCGGAACAAGGTGCGGGGGGCAGTCAAATTTCACCAAAGCTGGGGGCAGCGCGTAGCTAATCACAACCAACACCTGAGCTCTGAGAAGGCAAATCCACACCAAAACCCTCTTCCTGTCCGTATGCCGGCCATGTCCAGCGAGGAACCCTGAACATACGATCATGAGAAAGGCAAATGTGGCGGAGAGTCCTGTCCTGGGAAAATAACTGTTTCTTTTTGTGGGCCCTGACCTTTCTGAGCATTAAAATCCTGGTACCCTGTCCTTTCTAGCTAGAATTTACATTCTGAGACGAATGAAGGTTGCAGGCACTAACCTCCTGATGCCTAAGGTTTCCACAAAGGCATTGTTCCTCTCTAATGTTAAATGAATTCCTGGGTGCCAACACTCATACAATTGCTCAAAAAACAACCCCTCAACATATGCTGTTAACGGACTAATTCGATCTAATTCATCTCATTTCCTGGGCTGCGCGGATCACAACTTTAGAAAATAACCCGCGCCTGGAATATCTTAAATCGCGGATCCGAACGTTTCCAGCTCATTTTTTGGTTGGTGAAGCTAAACATATGTGTTTGTACCCTTTTGCAGGGACAAATGACTCTTCAGCAAAAAACACAGGTTTTGCAATTTGGGCGCGCGTTGACACAAAATTTTCGAATTTGTCACATGATGTCCTATCTATGGATGAAAGTCTATGGGCCAAAAAAGCAGGGAGGTTGCTTTGAGTGTGGAAATTGAAATCGCCGAAAGCGGCCACTTGCGGCCACTTGCGGCCACTTGCGGCCAGCGGCCACTTGCGGCCAGCGGCCACTTGCGGCCACTTGCGGCCACTTGCGGCCACTTGCGGCCACTTGCGGCCACTCGCTTGGAGCGGCCACTTGCGGCCACTTGCGGCCACTCGCTGGGAGCGGCCACTTGCGGCCACTTGCGGCCACTTGCGGCCACTCGCTTGGAGCGGCCACTTGCAGCCACTTGCGGCCACTCGTGTGGCTGCGAGTGGCTGCGAGTGGCTGCGTGCTGGTAGAAATACATGGCAGAGTTGGCATCTTGAAAAAAAAATGGTTTTGCTCGAAAGGCGTTTTTTTTCAAGTTTGGAGGTTGGATAGGTAGGATGTTATCGTGCCTCACGAAACCATGTGGCTAACCATATGCCACCCATGTCGTCCATAGCGTGGGGAAGATCTTGGGGCGTAGCATCAACGGTGGTAGAGCGGGAGAAAATTAAAAAGAAGATCTTGGAGAATAGCTCCAATGATGGTGCAATGTTGGAAAGTCGAAGGGAAGATCTTTGAGCGTAGCAAAATGACGGTGGAATGTTGGAAATGGAAAAGATATCCCAGAGCGTAGCATCAATGATAGAAGAAAATTGAAGAGAAGATCTCAGAGCGTAGCGTCAAGTATGTTAGAAAGCTGAAGAAAAGATCTTAGAGATTCTTAGGGCGTAGTGTCAGTGATGGTATAATGTTTGAAAGTTGATGAAGAGAACACCTTAGACGGTCCATGATGCTAAAAAGATGAAAGAAAAATGTTACAGCATCAACGCAGTACTATGTAAGAAAATCAAAGAGAAGACCTACTGTAAGAGCGTAGCAACAACTTTGCTAGAAACTTGAAGGGTAGCAGCTAGCATGAATCAGGGTAGAATGTGAGAAAATTCAAGAGAAGATCTTAGACCGTAGAATCACTCATAGTAGAATGTTTGGGGTATAGCATCAATGATGACGAAATGTTTGAAAGTTGATTAGATCTTAGAGCGTGGCATGTTAGAAAATACAAGAGAAAACCTTGGCACGTAGCGTCAATGATAATAGAAAGGTGAAGAGAAGATCCAAGAACGTAGCATCAATGATGTTACTGTAGAAAATTGAAAAGAAGATCGTCGAGCTAAGGGTCAGTGATGTTCAACACTTGAAAGGAAGATCTTAGAGCGCAGCATTGATATGCATTGATGGTGTCAGAACATGGAAAAGAAGATCTTAGAGAGTCGCGTCAATGATGTTGGAAAATTTGAAGAGAAGATCTTGGCGCGTAGCATCACTGATGTTTCAAATTTGAAGTGAAGATCTTAAAACGTAGCTTCAAGTATGTTGGACAATCGAAGAGAATATCTTAGAGCGTAACATCAAACATGTTTGAAAATTGAGGAGAAGTTCTTAGAGCGTAGCATCAATGATGGTACAATTGGAGAAACATGGAAATAAAATCGAAAAACATAGCATCAATGCGGGTAGAATGTCAGAAGAAAACAAAAAAAATCTTAGAGCGCAGCATCGATGATGTCTGAAAAGTGAAGAGAGTATCTGAAAGCGTAGCATCAACAATGTTGGACAGTTGAGAAGACCTTTGAGTGTAGAATGGCTGATGTTGGAAACTTGAAGAGAAGATCTTTGAGCGTAGCATCAATGATAGTAGAAAATTGAAGAGCAGTTGCAGTTTGGAGATTGAAGAGAAGATCTTAGGGCGTAGCATCAATGATGGTAGAAGCTTGGAAGAATGATGCGCAGATCTTGGAGCGTAGCATCAATGATGGTAGAGTATTTGCAAGTTGGGTAGATCTTAGAGCCTAGCAGCAACCAGTTAGAAGCCTAAGGAGAAGCTGTTGGGTAGTAGCATCAACGCATTCTATGCCAAACATGCAGAAGGTCTCAGAGCGTATCAAAGCGTAGCATCAAATAATGTTGGAAACTCTTATGCCCGGTGCGTTACTTCTTTCCTTTCGTTTAACGCTTCCCTTCCATTTGCTACAGCGTTCCTTTCGTTTCAACTCTTCCCGTCCATTTGATACTTCCTTTCTTTCGTTTCAACACTCCCATCCCGTTCATGTACTTCTTCCTTTCGTTTCCCGCCGTTCATGTGGTTACGTCCTTCCACTCGTCTCAATTCCTATACAATCCTTTCGGTTACATGTTTTATTGTAACTAGCCTATTTCGTTTGTTACTTCCTTCTTATCGTTTCAACACTCCCCCACGTTAGTTACTTCCTTCCTTTCGTTTCTACTCCTTCCTTCCGTTTGCTGTCAAGTCGTTCAATGTCGTTCATTTCCTTATGTCCGTCCTTACGTTTCACCTCGTTTTTTACCCCCTTCGTTTCACCTCTTACGTCATATGATCCAAGGACATAGGTCCCGGTATGTATACATATGGTCCAAGGACGTAGGTCCTGGTAAGTATATGCATGATCCAAGGACATAAGTCCTGGTAAGTATACATATGATCCAAGGACGTAGGTCCTGGTAAGTACAGTATACATATGATCCAAGGACATAGGTCCTGGTAAGTACAGTATACATATGATCCAAGGACATAGGTCCTAGTAAGTACAGCATGCATATGATCCAAGGACATAGGTCCTGGTAAGTATATGCATGATCCGAGGACATAAGTCCTGGTAAGTATACATATGATCCAAGGACATAGGTCCTGGTAAGTGTACTTATGGTACAAATACATCATGGAAGGCATACACATACTATTATGAAGATAATTGTGGATGTGTACAAATGCAGGTATATGCACAAAGGCTGCGATAACCGAATTCAAAAGAAACAAGAACTTTTGGATTCCAGATGATTCCAGAACTCAACAACTTCAAATGCCAGTTAGTTATACTCATTCCTTTCGTTTCAACTCTGACATCCCGTTCCTTACTGCTTCCCTTCGTTTCAAGTCGTTCATTGCTGGCCGTGGTCGAAGAGATTTCCTACTTGGGTGATTATACCAAAAGTATTCAACCTATATAACTATGATATCCCTGTTGGAATTCGAAACAAACCTGGGGGTTCCATTCTATAGGGACTAAAACGCAAACCCAGGACTAAGGGGGGGGGGGATTTTCCCTATAGAATAGAAACCCAAGAAAACCAGCGGGTTCTATTCTGTAGGGGGCATGTTTCCGAATCACTGGGACCCAGTTTTTCATTCTATAGTGGATTATTTGTTAGAAGCGGTGGGTATGAGGCTGGGTTTTCATTTTATAGGAGTGGAAGGGGAAGTGTCAGTGGGCAATAATATTGTAAATACTGTATGATTCTGTAAAACATTGAAACATGATGTAAATGAATAAGTGATCAACAACACTGTTAACGAATCAGTTTTGTGCAGGGCTGCTCCTTTAAAAATGGAGATCCAACCACTCTTCTAAAAATGGTTCCCAAGTTTCTTTTGCTTGAAAGGTGCCAGCCCAAACGTGAACCACATTTTGGGCCTTGGAAATAGCGGGTTCTATTCTGTAGGGGGCATGTTTCTTAATCACTGGGACCCAGTTTTTCATTCTATAGTGGATTATTTGTTAGAAGCGGTGGGTATGAGGCTGGGTTTCCATTTTATAGGAGTGGAAGGGGAGGTGTCAGTGGGCAATAATATTCTAAATACTGTATGATACTGTAAAATTTTTAAACATACTGTAAACGAATACGTGGTCAACACTGTTAACGAATCAGTTTTGTGCAGGGCTGCTCCTTTAAAATGGTTCCCAATGTTTTTTTTTGCTTGAAAGGTGCCAGCCCAAACGTGAACCACATTTTGGGCCTTGGAAATAGCGGTTTCTATTCTATAGGGGGCACATAATCACTTGGACTCAGGTTTTCATTCTATAGTGGATTATTTGTTTGAAGCGGTGGGTATGAGGCTGGGTTTTGATTTTATAGGAGTGGAAGGGGGGGTGTCAGTGGGCAATAATACCGTAAAATATTGAAACATATTGTAAACGAATAAGTGGTCAACACTGTTAACGAATCAGTTTTGTGCAGGGCTGCTCCCGTAAAATGGAGATCAAACCACTCTTCTAAAAATGGTTCCCAAGGTTTTTTTTGCTTGAAAGGTGCCAGCCCAAACGTGAACCACATTTTGGGCCTTGGAAATAGCGGTGTCTATTCTATAGGGGGCACATAATCACTTGGACTCAGGTTTTCATTCTATAGTGGATTATTTGTTTGAAGCGGTGGGTATGAGGCTGGGCTTTCATTTTATAGGAGTGGAAGGGGAGGTGTCAGTGGGCAATAATATTGTAAATACTGTATGATTCTGTAAAACATTGAAACATGATGTAAATGAATAAGTGATCAACAACACTG